TTCATCCCGATTTTCCGACGTGGTTTCCCCTTGTCAGTGGTGCAGAACGGAGGGTCTGACAAGGACAGCTGTCTAGTCCTTTGGATGATATGAAAAACTGAGGTCCCGTGTATATATTGGAATGCACGTAAAAGATCCCTTGGTTGTTGGAATTCGATATAAGAGTAGGCGATAGTGCCTCTGCCCAGGCAAAATTTCCCTCATAGCACACTGTATGGCGTATGCCCGTCTTCATTAGCCCAGTATAGGAGCAGAACAGTAGGACGTTAAACCCCATTTCATTTTATTTTATTTGATTCAATGACAGACCTTATAGTTCAAAGAGCACACTTAGAACATTCAGCCATCACACATGTACCCCCCTCCTAATGACAAGTGCAGGGTTAGAAATAATATCTGATCAGGATACCAAGAGCTGGGGTTAGGTATTACGTCCAGCAAGACATTAGATCAATTAATATACCGGGTAGTCCTTATATTATATACAGATAATATACAGTATAAATAATCATACTATCAACATGTACCAATGTCATTTTAATAATTTTTTGTAGCGAGATAATATCTACATGGTAAGTTTAACACTGTGGTATATTATAGTATTACATGGTGAGTATAACACGTCTACTGTCATATTTTTAACAGTAAACACAGGTGGATCAGTTTGTCAGGTCACCATACTGGTTGCCATCACATGTTCAACAACAATTCGACCTCATGTAGTTTAAGGCTAAAAATACCCACAAAATACATGCTAGAAAACCTAAATTCAGCTAATTAATTGTATTTTAATAATAAATGTCAATATTATTGTACGGGCATAATTCTGGTCCAGATAAATATTGCCCTAGGGTGCTTCATGTGGGCAGCAATGCCAAGACTACTAATAAAGGCCCTACCCCATCCCACGGCCAGCAATGTGAGATAAGACAGAAAGACCGATAGAAATGGAGAGTTTAACATTCACTTAACACAAATTAGGTTATTTTGTGACAGATAAATGGATTTCAATAATTTGTATGTGTGTAGGGCTTTTTAGCAGTGGGAGGAAACCAGAGAAAATCATGCATTATAGACACTGTGACACTAGCAATCTTGCATTGATGAAAATCTAAAGCACGAAAATAGGAAAATATATGGCCCTTGATACTAACAATCAAGAATTACAACAGACTTTGTTTGTTTGTGTATGGCAGATGAATTAATACATAAACTTTTGTTGTGACAAAAATAAAACTAAGATAAACAAATTAAATGAGATAAAGGAAATTACATAGAAAAATAAAAGTGATGATTTAAGTTGGAATATATCACAGAGTCATGTTACACTGAATATCATATTACAATGAAGTAAGATTGCATCCGACCCCTTCCTAACTACAACAATAAAAGATTCAGTTTTCAAATATGTGATCAAAAAATTTGAATTCCAATTGAATGACTCAGCTTCAGTGAGATTGGGCCATTTTTTTTTAAAGGTTGACAAAACATATTGCTTTTATTGTCAGGATAACGAATAGCTCAACGGTTTAATGGTTCTATACTAGGTTACTTTGTCAATAATTCATTACAACCCCTGGATTACATATCACAAAATCTTTAGGTGCTCTATTTACATAAACATATAACTGCCACATTAAAAAGAACTCTGCATGCTGTTTATACGGATATTCACTGATAGTTTCTAATAATGAACATGCTGGTTTATTCATCCTATTGATTTTTTAATTAACTCAACCAAGGTTTTATTATACCAATGATGAATATGCAGTTTAAAATACACCACCACCTTATAACATGTACATGTACTGTACAACATGCATAAAAAGAATAGTTCTGATATCGAATGCTGATTTCACTATTCAAATATTCAAAATCATTATTCGTAAACTACAATGTATTTGAATACTTGATTCAATTAAAATGATCAATTTTGGGGTTGTCCTTTTTCTTTGGGGTGGGTGTGTGGGGGGGGCATTTTCAAATTTCAAATAGGTATACATGTACATGTATCTAGAAACAATAAATCTTTCAAATCATTATTTTCCATAATCTAATCTATCTGTTTATTCAAGTTGATTTTATTGAATTAATATTGGGAGAAATTAAATGAAATGGGATTTAGCGTCCTACTGTTTTGCTCCGAACTGGGCTAATGAAGACGGGCCTGGACAGCAGCACTACAGCCTACTCTTATATCAAATTCCAACTGTCAAGGGATCTTTTACGTGCACGCCAATGTGTACACAGGACCTCGGTTTTTCGTCTCATCCAAATGACTAGACAGCTGTCCTTGTCAGGCTCTTCATCCTGCAACACTGACAAGGATGAACTTTCTCGGCCATGTGTACACATTGGCGTGAACGTAAAAGATTCCTTGGCAGTTGGAATTTCCCTCCTAGCACACTGTATCTTGTATGGCTGTATGCCCGTCCTCATTAGCCCAGTTGGAGCAGAACAGTAGGATGTAAAACCCTATTTTATTAGTTTTAATTGTAACTATGAACACTGAAATTCTTTTAATAAACTCTACATAATGAGGAATAAATATTTGAATAGTACATTAATCATTAATAAAACAGTAAAACAATTTTAATAACTGATTGCAGTTGAATTAAATTAAGGTACTTTTGATCCAGAAGTGACTAGAGTATTTATGTCAAACAAATTAATTTGCAATTAGCACATTTTTTATCATCAATGAGGTGTTATCACTTTTAACAAGAAAACTTTTTTCATAATTTCTTACTCAATATAATCCTAGACTGACTAAATTATTGAAATTCCAAGCACATGCCTACATGTACACGTACTTACACTGAACTTGCCAGACTACATGTATACTGTGAATTTTAAAACATTTCTAACTTAGATTTAATGAATTTGTAGATCTGTCTCAAATTTTGCACACAGTTTAGTATGAACAACCATGATGTAGCTATATAGTCAAAAAGCGACAAATCAACAACAAAAAATTCTGCTGAGCAAAGATTTCCAAAACAATACTGCCTCTTTAATAAATCAAGTATAATGGGCCTATTCATATTATTCGACATGTCGACAACAAGGCCTACTTACATGTATTTTGAATGAGAATAAATGAAGTATCAAGAGTCAAGACAAAAGATGTAAACAAAAGTCAAGAGATTTGAGGTTAAAAAACAATAGTTGCTAGCCTACTATTTATCATTTCAAACACTGGTAGTGATATTATTATCCAATCAATATTAATAACAGGGTACATGAACATGTACTTAGGATTTAATTTTCATTGAAAACTTGTACATGTATGATTTTTTAATTAACTTGAAATAATTATCGCACAGGTGGGAATAGACTAAACAGTACTCGACTGAAAACATATTGTACATGTACCTAATTGTCTAATACATGTAGATCGTTTTTTAATTCCTAAGGACATTTTGTGAAGGTAAAAGACATTTAAAAAAAAATGGGCAAAATTGAGAAGAAAAAATTATTTGTAATAAACAAGCCTTCAGGAACTCACGACCCTCTTCGCAGGAGAAATTATATGTTTTAGGTAACTTACATGTAGATCATTTACTGTCTAAGTAATGACAGGATCATGTGACTTTTGTGAGTGTTAAAGATTCCTGTCAACCTTGTTACATAAATGGGTGTTAACCTTGAGACTAACATGTAATTTATTTCAATGGTTATGTTTGTAATACAAAAGAAAATAATATCAGCACAACAAATGAATTCTGTTTATGGATTGTATACATGTAGTGCATGGTGTTCACAGGATCTGTGTATCTTTTTTCCCTCCATATCCAAATGTCTATTCATTGGGAATTTTGTAGGGATTTATACTTATAGTAACATAATAAAATACTTAGCAAAACCAAACAAACCTAATTTTAGTACCGTACCATACACAATACACCATCAGTGAAAATGAAATGTTTACAGAGACAAATCATACACCGTTAGGAATTTTTTCCAGGCTGCATGAATAAATGATTCTACACAATATTCTATCTTTTGATATGAACAACCAAACATCTCTATTTTTGTATCCTTTATAGACCTATGAAATGACAAAACTAATTTCCATTCTGATAGGAGCTGAAAAATTCTGACAACTAACAGTACTTCCTCATCGAGTCATCTATTCATAAATTCTATGTTATGGCAAATTAAAGTTATTAAGAAAAAAAAACAACTGGCATGTTTGGAGCCAGATCCGGAACGGAAGGACATGTATCATGTAAATCTTAATACCCAATCCCTCTGCTGTTGTGGCCTAACAAAAAAAAATTAAAAAATCATCAATGCACCAGCTATACAATGTAACTAGAAACCTGAAAAGATCATTACTTTCATCCAGATTAACATATTGGCCTTTAGACAGCTGATTTGTGAGTGTAGATACATTACATGTATTTGTGGGGGTGGGGAAAATACATGTAAGTATATGTGGTGACATGAATTTTCTGAAAAAAAAAATACCTATGTGGTATAAATACATACCAACTAATACTAAACAGTAAAATAGTGTAGCATGTATATTAACACTCTAATATTGCAACAATGTAATATGTTTAAAGGAGTGTTATATATATCTTGGCTGATGTTTAAAACAATGTATTTACTGTGTGAAATTTTGCTGGCATGCAGGAAATATTTCCATGATAAAGTGGACATGAATGTAAACTTTCGGAAGGAGCTGTTATGTTGAGGGCAAGATATGTCACAGAATGAATACACACAGTAATGTGGCAGTCAGGTGCATACATGTGCTTCATCAACCCAATCGATAGAGCGGGTTGGGATGGCTTCATTGTTGGATAAAAAGCCAATAAAGGCCATTATGACAATAGCAATAGCAGAATTCCAGTACCGGTAGCTAAAATAATTTGAGTGTTGATAACTTAGAAGTAAATATTATCCACTCTTTGAGTCGTCTTTGTTGATAGGAGGGCGGTATTTGACCCTACCGGTTCAATATGCACAAAGATAAATATAGTGTAACTGACCTCCAGATCTTCAAATGTTTTGAAACTCATTATAGCAAAACCATCGATAATATCCTCTTCAAATATATTTGGGGAACTGTTTCTTCTCCTCCTTGGCTTACCCCTCCCTTTGTCTTTGCTGGTCCGAGGAGGGGATTCATCTATTTCGTCCCCCATTTCGCGAACTTGACTCTGCTTTCCCTGTTGCAATAATTGGGCCCTTTCACGACGTCTGACTCTTTGATTACGATGCTTCGATTCGCTTTCCATCGAAGCCCTGCAAATTCAAGGGTAACACCATGAATACAGTGCCCACATGAGCTATTCCAGATATTAAACTATCCAACTATATAATCCTGTAACACACACTAATCCTTAATTAGCCACAAATCCCTGAAAAACTACAGATTTTCTCGTCCAAACATCCACGATTGTTCAAATGGCGGAACACACAATATGGCCGAACAACGCAACGAGACTCAGCTGAAGTCCCTCCGCACGCACCTTGCTAAATGTAGTTCGATCTATAAATAGTTTTTGTTTGCATCTCGAACCAAGTTTGTAAAAATAGGTCACGTAGTTTTTATTTGTAGAGATTACGGTTGATAACAGTATATATTAGTGTCCATTAATCGTTTTATTTAAAATTGCCATAAATCTGTTCGCGTGTTTTCATAGCAAAATGGAACGAAAAGACTAAAAAAGAGTCTAACTTGATGTACATCCTGAGAGTACTTTCCTTAAGGACAGCAGCCACATTCTCTCGATCAGTTATATTTGCTTTCACTGAAGAACACTTTTCAATATTTATTTTATCTTTTTCTGATGTTTTTCGCGTCCTGTTTTTATATGTGAATAGTGTTAGTTTTATAAGTTTATTCTGGTTTTCTAATTACTGTGAAGCATATTGAATGTCGAGTAGAGTCTTCATGTGAAATTGATTTAAAATGAGTGACTAACTTTGAAATTAATGGGGCAATAATTATTTCGGGCATTAGAAACATTATAAGTACTTTTCGCTAAATAAATAGATTGATGTGTCGATTTTAAGCAATTTTAAAATAATGACACATATAATACGCCCATTTACAACAAATGTAGTATTTGTATTAACGTGATGTAATATTAGATCTAATATACGAGATAAAGAATCACAAGTTTCCGCAGACGAATTGGAAAGAAAACTTAAACGTGTATAGTAGGCTACGCATGGTTTTGGTGTATGAATATTACATGCAATATGTCATTTTGAACAGTGCACGTCTATACGTATTTTGTTTGGGTTTTTCTTTGCTGTTATTTAATTTACAAAGTTCTTCTTTTTATGTGTATGATACTATCTTTGAATGATTTATCCAGCTATCAGATGTCTATATGTCAGTAAACAATAAATAAAAATCAGTATTCTTTTCTTTGTCTGATACTGTCTTCTTTCTTTTATTTATTTTATGTCGTTATCATGTTTTTTGTGTTATTCATTTAGTGTTCAGCCAGAGTAAAATACAAAAGACATAAAAATACAATGTTACGATATGTTTATTGTGTATTACCTTACAGGTTATTAGATGTACGTAAAGCATATAATTAATTACGCGAAATCGTAGATTAGTTTGGATGAATGCTGTGCTCGGATGTTGTCGAATTTAAGGTAATTCAGAGTTTCTGGTTATAAAATAGAGCACCAAGAAGGTTACATTTTACATCTTTTACTATTAAACAATATTAAGATTTATTTTGAAACTCAAGTAAAATTTTCGACACGGGCCTATAAGGCTAAATCTATTTGTTAAGGCCAACTCAATTTTCGTCAAGGTCGCTGAGATGTAAATAAGTTTAGGGCACGTGATTGTTGGCGGGATTGTGGGTTAGAATTAGGGTAAGCATAAAGCATTGGGGCTAGGTCCAGGGTTAGGGCTAGTATTAACGCTAGCCCGTTTACATCTCGTGACCTTGGACCAAACCTGAAGCTGGCCTTATCAAATAGATCTTACAACGTGTTTTCAGCGCTTATTTCAATTGAGACCCCTGTAATCAAGTACGACTCAGGTGGAGGGTATCCGAGTGTATTAAAGATACTTTAATTTTCCGCGTAATACTGTGTGATTTGATGATATATTCCTAAGTAAATTCTTTATTATTTTCTGTCAACTTCTTTTTCCGCCGTGTACGTTGACACTCCTCAATGTTCCCGAAATAACAACCGCTCCCTCAGTTAAGCTAGCACATTAGCACACAATAGGCTGCATGGCAGACAAGTCGGGTTGCCAGTTAGTGATACCCTGACATTTTTGCCCAGTTCTTGCCCCATGGGTGTTTTTAGGGTAATCCAGTATTTTCTAGTAAGATTAGATGTCTATATAGCAACTTTGCCATACTTTTATTGGAAATAACCCCCAATACCTTTGGGACAATGTAGGCTATCTTTGAGGGGATGGGCAAAAGGATGAAATCATGTTGAAAATTAATTTTATTAATTGGAAGTATTATATTATCAAAAATGAATGTCCTGTTGTGTTTTTATCCTTTTTATGTCGATTCGACCAACTTTATGTTCTCATTTAAGGAATGTTCCGTGGATCGGGTCTTTACTGTTTGTGCTTCTGTACGTTTTCCATCTTTAATTATAATAATCACACTGTGATTTGAAAATTTAAGCTTGTTTTTTGAATATTTACAGTTCCCACTTGTCAGATATATAAAATTAGGCATATAGATCGCCAATCATGCATTGTAGGCCCAAGGTGAACATGGAAATAAAATTAACAATATGTTAGTCTCAAAATCTCCGAAGCATTGTGTTGATAAAACGTCCAACTCCACCCGATTCCACACAATGAAATACTTTCCTTTCTACACTGGACCTTTCTTTACTTTGGCGACATTTTCTTTATATATATCATGTATTCCTAATTGCAAGGACAAATGAATTAAAGATCGTTGAATTTGTTGTCTTTCATTCGTAGTCACATGATTTATTACTTATTTGTTCAGATTATTCTGGCAGATACAGCAAGTGCATGGCCAATGCATCAAATAGTATACGATTCAACAGATTAGGCTTAATATGGTTGACTGACCAGTGAAGAGCTCAGGTAGGCTACTTAATTAACCGATTTGATTGGATTAGATTAATCATTCATATTCCCAGGTTATTTCCAATTTGGACAATTGATCCATTAATAATAGACCTTAATGTACATTTTTTCTTTCGTTTCTTTAATACTAACGTATGAAATGCAACTCAAACAAACAGTCTAATTCGTGTATGTCATATAAAACAGCAATTGTGTTATATATACCCCCCCCCCCCCAAAAAAAAAAGAGATATCAAGTGTTCTGGGAAGAGCAAGCATGTATACATAACCCTGTGCAAGACATACGTCACGACTAACAACTAATTGGAACGAGATTCTAGAACACGAAGCTACGGGATAATGATAATCGCGGGGTCAAAGGCCATCAGCAGAGTTACCTGCAGCAGCACGGTGGATGATTAAGTACAACAAAGAAATATTTCACAGTAATTTATAAGGATTTCTTTAAAATTTAATTGCAATGGTTTGTATTTTTCTGTACCACTAAGTTGTCTTTCTCCTGTTTATAGCTACCCCCCCCCCCCCTTCGTGGTGGATATATACAGGTCAATCTGAGCAATTCCATTAGGTTACCTTAATTTACAAATTAGTTTGTACTCAGTGGGTGGGTGCAAAATTATACCAGAAAACTAAAGAAAACATTATATCAATAATATAAACACAATTACTGCACATTAATCTATATTGAGTAGTATTTTCTTAATTGCTTGCAAAAAGGCTCTAATCATTTTGAACATTAATCAAAATGACTGCATTTCCTTCTATATGAATGCTCGTTCGGTCGTTATTCAATGCAATATTGGATGTCTTTGTTATTCCTCGCCTTTATTTGCAGATTTACCATCCTTTTCATATCGACGTTTGGTCTAGGGCTGTTCTTGACTGCTTTTGGCATGCAAATTACTTCATTAATGACCTGAATGTATTGCGAAAAGCTGCCATAGTTATCAAGCTTTGTTTAGCTTCTCTGTTCAGATTTATAGGAGTTTGCCTAATTTTATTAAATATTGATGTAAATAAAAAACAAGTTTATCCTTACTTTTGTTGATATAATAATAACATTTTTATAATTAATTTCAAACTTTTTAATTTGTAATGTTCTTTTAATTACAATTTTAAAATATATGTATATTGATAAATATAAAATATTTGTTAAAAATATATAAAATATTTGTTAAAAATATATAAAATATTTGTTAAAAATTTAACAGATAAATAAATATATTACTGACCCAAAATAAGTAGGATTGGCCTTGGATATTACAGATGAGTTGGAAAGGTTTCAGAGGGTATCTGTTATATTGTGTAATCCCCGGAGACATAAAACGTCCAGCTGTCAACCATTACCAGATAATGCAGGGAAAGCTGTAGATGGGTCAAGTTACCGAGAACAGGTCTAGTAACGAGATCCACTTGCCGCCAAATCTAGACATTGACACTTCACACACAGACGGACCTCAATATAAAAACCAGTCAATTTATTGCCTTTAAATTCATGTTGGGGGATTACAGTGTACGGTTGGAGAAACAAACACAAATATAACTCAAATGATTGTATTAGACGAATATATAACAAGCAAATAAAAAAAAGAGAAAATTGAACTGACACTACGCACATAGATTGACAATAATTGTCTGATACCATAATTTTACTTTATTATAGAATAAATGAGAATATCATTATGAAGGATTAGAATATCGTCTCAGAACACGCAGGACTTTGGTAGAAAAGCAGTAACTCCTGTTGTTCACGACCGTCAATACTAACCATTGCATAAATCACCTTAGGTGATTTCGGAATCCGTTTTTGCTTACTCAGTAAAAATTCAAAATCATTGAGATAGTCTGTGTAAAATGTTTAAAATAATGTATGGTCCAGATGTGTATAAAGAGAAGATCCCAATTGGTGGTTTGTACTTTGTAGGCAATCAAAAACAAATCACTGTTGACAATAATTTTTGTGTCAATCGTTTTTGCATACACAGTTAAATTTTAAAAATCATTGAAATATTTTGTGTTAAATGTTTAAAATAATGTATGGTCCATACGTGTATAAAGAGAAGACCCCAATTGTTGGTTCGTGGGCAATCAAAAAAAAAAATCACTGCTGAAAACAGTTTTTGTTCTAATGTAAAATTCAATCTGTATATACATGTATAGATGAATAAAGAGATTACACTGAAATCATTATTCCGACGAAGCACCACTAATTTCCCCAAGTGCTCCGCTTTTCAATATTCCCGTGTCCACACCTATCGACAGAATATATAGTATTACATGTATTGGCTTGATTATAGTAGGTTCTAGTAACCGCAAGACTGACCTATTGATCGGACCCCAATGGTCGAATTCGGGAGCCGAATCCAACTGGATACTCGCATACTAACATGTACTCAACACAAATGACATTATGTAAAGCTACTCCATGCAAAAACAGCCACAGCTATATATACCTCGTGAATCGGTGATCAACCGTGTCAGTATTGCATACATGTTTAAAGAGAATATTGCATATACATGTGGTTAATGGATGAAAGAGACATACCTGATCATTTCGGGACTAACATAATTAATTATTATGGTATTTTAGAAGACTAAAACATATCATGTGGGTTAGACAATCTCTTGATCCTGGTCTTAGCGGATGAAATTTAAATATATTCCAAACAATTATTCACAAATGGCCACATGATAGAGATGTCCATAAAAACTATAGACAATCTTCGAAAGGAAATGAAATGAGATGGGGTTTACCGTCCTACATTTCTACACCATTCGGGTTACCGAAGGCGGGCATACGCCATGGCATACGGCGGGCATACGCCATATATGTAGTCATTGCAGTATGATTTAAGGGAAATTTAAGCTGGCCGAGGGTTTAACGTGTATGCTTTAGATCCTAAGGTCGGTCATTGGGTCAAGTGGCGTGGTACGTGACTAGCAGTAGGTCGCCTGTCCACAATGTGGGGTTTCTTCGGGTCCTCCTGTTTCCTCCCACTGCCGAAGACCACTACGCGCGAGCGAATATTGAATAAAAATTGAACCAAATGTTTGTACCGAAATGATAGTTTGTGTTGAGTAGACTTTAAACCCCATTCCTCTCCCTCCCTCTCTCTCTCTCTCTCTCTCTATCCCAATCTGATTAAAATACAGATCTATATTTCGTTTCGTTTTTTTTATACTCTCGATGGCCCACACTACATGAAGATCTGACAAGCTGTATTCGAAGGTCGTGTCAGGGGTCGTACGAGTGGCTTTTGACCCTGTGACGTCAGACATTGATTTATCCATCAGCGTTGACGTTTCTAGGTGTTTACCCACAGTTCAGTGTATGGCACGCCAAGAAATCGCCGTAACATGCCGTTTCATTGGCTTGTCATCCCTCACTTCAACCAAAACGCCGGTAATGTAACAACTCTTCCAGATCCTAGTGTAGTAAAGACAAGTAAAACGAAATTTTGAACTATAAAAAACGAAACGAAATAGGATCTGTGTTTTAATCAGATTGTCCCTCTCTCCTTCTCTCTCGATTAGATCGATTTGAATAATATAGTTTGGGCGTTCCATTGGTTGTGTATGGTCTCAAAATCTGTATTGGTCGCCTGTTCGGTTTATTTTTTTCTCGTAAAGCTCCATATATGATCTTGAGATCTGAAGTGTGTGTTGATGTACAAATATTATCTAATCTTATCTTATCTCATAATAAAAATTTTAATTGTGTTACGGGAATAAAATGTATTTAGCATAGTTGAGATGAATATGTCCCTTTCTGAAGTGTAGTCCGATTTCTGGAGTGAAAACATAAAAGCAAACCCGCAACTGTGATTGTGTTATATTGTGTTATATTATGGTAGCGAGTTGTTTCTCCGAAGTGTCTTTATCACCCAATAACACATTCTACAGTAAATATCGCTTGTGTGATTAACTTTCATAATCTACTGAGCGATCGCTTTACATGAAATAAAATGTATACTAAAGAATCACATTTATTTGTGCGTGCGTAAGAAAGGGTTGCGTGATAAATAAAATCTTCTTCTACTGCTCTTTTTTAATAAAAAAAAACCCCATCTGCATTCAAAATTAAAACAAGCCCCCCCCCCCCCACACACACACACAAAAAAAATTCAACTTGTCATCCATTTTGCATGATTGTGGGGTGTGACTTTTCACCACCGACAAGCTTTTTAACACGCCGACGACAAAACAAGAACAACATACACTAAAAAATTAATATATTTAACAGCATAGATTATTCAACAGCATAGATAGATATATATTCAACAGCATAGATAGATATATAAACAATAAATAAAAAATGTGAAAGCCAAAGTAGTTTTTTGACATTGATGATTAGTCATAAATTTGGGTTACAAGTTATATTAACAATAATCTAAGGGGGGCTACTTCATTCAAATTGATTGCGTAAAAATGGAGTACTTTCCCTTTAGCTACTACCATCTAAATCATCACTGTAAATTTGTCATGTATTTATATTATAAGATTGAGTACTTTTGGAAAATAATACACCATAATATATACCCCAAATAATATACTTCTTTCTTTAGTAATATTATTATCATAATTAAGTTAGTTTAAATTCGATTCAAAGAACAAAGACAACGCCGCTTAAGGGAGATGACTCGATATAAGACCGGAAGTGATCGTCTGTTGCAGGTGCCCGGATTAAGTCGCCATTTTCGCAAGGAAGAAAAACACTTTATAGCAACCCGGTAGGTAATTTGTTTATTGAATATATTTCCAGCACAATAAGCCGTTGAATTGACAACAGAGATAAAGACATTGAATACAAATGTTCTGCTGGTATTGACATTTTCATATATAGCACGTGGCTGCGTTTGTTTGTTTACGATTTTGAAAATGTTTGGTTTTGCCAGCAGAATTTATTTTTTGAGGGTGTGTTAAATGTTCAGTGTCTATTCGATTTGGTCTGTATGTGAAACCTGCGACAGATCGGACGGGAAAAAAAACAAAACATTGGTCTAAAAACCTATTTCATGTTCTCATTGTTCTTATTTATTTTTCTCTCTTAGGTAGAGCTACAGAGACTGTCAAAATGTTCAGCTTTAGGAAGAAAGATAAAGAAAAGGAGAAAGAAAAAAAGGATAAGAAAGAAAAAGAGAAGAAGGAAAAGAAGGAGAAAAAGGAGACAAAACAAAAAGAAAGACCACTAATTACACCAGAAGAAATGTCCAGATTAGAGGAGGTTAAAAAAGGAGTATTTCGTCGTTTTAGTGATCGTGATAAAAATAAAAATGCTGGACATCGAAGTGATTTGCACCGTGATGGTGCAGTTGTTCAGAGTGATAGCAGTGAAAGTAACTTAAGTGCTAGTGGATCTTCAGGAAGACCCAGTCCCACTAAAGAGCATCCTGAAAAGAACACAGTTGCACTTACAAAATCAAATAGTATGAATTCAAAACCTCCCCCATTAATGCCTAAACCCAGAACTAAAGGTATTCTGAAAGATAGAAGTAACGATGCTAATAGCCAGATGAATATATATGAGGATATAGATGATGTGAAAACATTACAAGAAAATACCAGATTAAATGAAGAAATGTCTGGTTTAGTAGTTGGTCAAGCTTTGCCAGCAGGTATGAAACCCAGCATGAAACCCAAACCAGCTTCAAGATCTACACTAATACAAAATAATAGCAGTACTGTGTCAAATGGAATTGATCAACTGGTTCAAGATGCAGTGCTTGAACCCAGGGAAAAAACATTTGATAAAAATCTAACATTGCCCCTTATAATACCACCCAAACCACCCCGTATTAGAGACATTGAAGTGAAGAGAACCCCTGCTGGGGATTTCGGCTTTAGCTTGCGCAAAGGAACTATTCCAATAATGGGCCAGGGAGATGAGGCTCGAGTTGTCACTTTCGCTGAACCAGC